ACAATGTTGGCCATAAACCCCAACTTAGGATACCAAAAGGGGCCATGCTGAAATTTCGACCTGCCTCGGTAAAGTACCAGTATAGTAGGAATACTATAGCTAGCATATTGGAGAAGAATTCCAGTTGCAATGAGTGAATTGAATGCTAGTTCGGACGCAAGGTACAGGCAGCCGAACAATGCTGTGCCGATGGCAGAGCCAATTAAGGACCATATAGGGGTATAGAATGGTGCCGGGAAGATTTTGCTAAAATGACGATGTAAAGGGAAGCCAGACTCTCGGCTAATTGACCAGGCAAGTCGAGACTGCCATGTCTGGATCGACCATACAGAGGCGAAAACAAGAAAAAGGACGGGGACCCAGAGGCCGATTGCTGCAGCTTTACTGCCTGTGATGTGGTGTAAGACTGTAAGTCCCGAGTAATCTGGAGTATTAATAGGCCCAACGTTGACTAGGACAGCCAGAATCATCAGAAGACCGCTGCTGAATGCAATAACGATGGTCCAAATCAAAGCTTTTGGAATATTTGTGCTCGGGGATGGGATTTCTTCAGCAAGGTGTGTAGCAACATCGAGGCAAGAGAAGCACCAATTGGATCCATTCAGGCCAATCAGAAAAGCCACACCATTCGGCCAGCCGGAAACGTTGACAACTTTGAAAAAGTCTTTAGCACTCGTGTGGGTTTTGGCGGTAGCAAATAAAGTGATGATAATGGCTGAAACGGAGAGAACGTTCACAAGCAACAAAGCCTTCGATATTTTGGGTAGAAAATACTCAAAGCAGGCACCAAAGCACGTCACAATATTGATGAGTTGAAACACCACAAAGCCCATCCACCGCTGATACACGAAGTTAGGGTTAAGGAGAGTGACAATTGTAAACGCATTCACAGGCACGGCAAGATTACCAGAAGCGCCGATTGCGATAGCTGCGATCCAGCTGATCATTGCTGTTGCATAGGATAAGCCTCTTCGGTATCTTTCTGGGGCAATCTTATGTACCCAGATATATTGACCTCCCGGGTGGGGTATTGCGGATATAAGTTCAGATAGAGTCGTTGCTGTAGCCAGTCCGACTGCTGCCATTGCCAAAAACCCCCAAAATATCACGGGCGACCCGCCCATGGGAATGCCCGTGCCCAGGACAAGCAGCAGGCCGACTGCCGTGTTGGTGACCCCATAGCCAATGCCGATTGCTGATAGTGTGGTGAATGGCTTCTGTGTCTGAACTTGGATAATCTCCTCCTGTACCGGACCCGAAAGATGAGAATCGACCTTCCCTACCACCGCACCCTTCTCAGTCTGTTCGTCGTTTCTCAGTGACATTATTCTCGGGCTGTTAATGCCTGACCACACGGGAGACAACAATGCAGCGTTGTTAGTTATGCAGAATGGTGGGGATTACAAGAACATGAGAAACGAGTGGAAACTATATAGTCAGGTATTTGTCTGGACAGCCATGCGACGGCGGCGCCGAAGCAGACGGGCAGAAGGGAACGGAGCTGCCCACAAACAGACCCAAATTACTCGTCATCGGCTGCAGAACCCTTTGTACTTATGGTGTGTAATGCAGACTCATTATAAACTTCGCCAGGGAGGCTTGGATGACCATTTTAGAAACTCTTGGTGGAAGAAGCTCCAGTAAAATATGCAATGGCCCAATTTTTAGGAATGGTCCAATGAGTTCGGGGAACATCTTATTGCAGCTTGCGGATACGCTCTATACTTTCGTGGAGACTCAAGAAGTGAGCGAAGAAAACTTACCTGGGCCTGCGGAAAGTTGTGGGACTAGAGCCATTGCAGGAGTGAGCCAGAGCGACAAGATGGATGATGCATGTCGATGCTTTGGACAAAGCCATCCGTGCGAAGCATCCCATATATATTATTGGCCGTGGGTAGAAGTGTCGACTTCCGGCATATCCCTGAAAGCGACAGACTCAAAAGTAGGAAATGCTCATCTCGTTGGCTGGGAAGCCCAAACACACCGACATGAGCTCCAAACTTTGGTCATCCTGGAAGTTCAAGGTGTGCATTGCATCGCGCATACGAAGATAAACCTAGAATCAGCCACCGGTACTACCCATTCCCTGCACCCGTTCCGTGAAATGTGTCAGAATCCATAGGTATTGTCATTCGGGCCAGACTTACTCCATGGTATGCCATTAGGAACGGGCCCAGCTTGCTGCACTGAGATTGATAATGGCTATAAAGAAGCTAGGATTCTCGATAGGCAAGCATACTCCGTAGAAGCACTGATTTACATTAACAGGTTTCGCGGCCTTCACTTGAGCATTTGGGAGCCATTTGGCATTGACTGCGTCGCTGAGCTGTTTTTGACAAGCCTGGCAAAATGCCGGAATTCCCACCCCCAATTGATCCGTCCTATGTGCCCTCGGTCTCGCTTACGAGGATTCCCGCAAATGCGCCGATCGAGGACATACTTGCCGTCCTGGAGAGAGATGGCGGTCTTATTCTAACCGACATTATTTCCAGCCAAGACGTGGCTGCTATCAACGATGAGCTAGATCCTTACGTCCAGAAAGCCAGAGCTGAATCGCACGCTGCGTACGACCTTATCCCCAAACAAACGATAATGGTCCCCGGTATTGTAGGCAAGTCGCCTACCATGGCGAAAATTGCTGAGTACGAGGTGATTGATAAACTGCGAACGATGGTTTTGCAGAAGAAATGCACTGCTACCTGGGAAGACCGGACAGAGGAATTTACCATCGGGCCCTTACTGAACAGTAGTTTGACATATAATGTCAGCTATGGTGGCCCTCGCCAGAGGCTGCACAGAGATGACATGATCCATGGCATTTACCACCACGATGGGGAATACAGCTTGTCAAACGAGACTATGCTTGGCTTTATGTTTGCAGGATGTAAAACCACCCGTGAAAATGGAGCAACCATGGCAATCCCAGGCTCCCATAAATGGAACCACACTCGGGTCCCTCGAACCGATGAGGTTTGCTTTGCTGGTGAGTTATCTTAGCTCCTTCCAGTTGTCCTTTTGCAGACAACCTAGGACTTGCATACCATCCTTTACACATGAAGAAACAAAAGTTTCTAATAGAAATGAAATAATCCAGAGATGGAACCCGGTTCGGCCTTTGTCTTCCTAGGCACTGTCTACCATGGCGCCGGGCACAATTCTGTCCCCGGCCAAGTACGCAAGGTCTATGGCCTGTTCTTCATCTCGGGAACACTTCGGCCTGAAGAGAACCAGTTTTTGGCCATTCCTCGAAGCAAAGTATTGGGAATGAGCGATAAAATGCTCTCCCTGCTTGGGTATAAAAAGCCAGAGACATGGCTTGGTATTGTGAATAATGGCGACCCAGCAGAGAATCTCAAAGAGGTTCTCGACATGGCTAACTCGTAGCTCTTCTTCGTCCCTGTTAAGTATCGTGTTCTCGTGTCTTGTGGTAGATAGATATCTTGAGCATATTGGGTTATAAAGTGGCAGGTTGGCGCTTCTAGAAGGGTCACCTCCCTTGCAAGTGCAGAAGTCAGTCTGGAGTTGTAGTTCTCACTCCCTAGCTTTTGCGGTGGAAAGTACTCTCCTTAATTCTTCAATACAATGCTAAACACTCTCAAGCGGAAGCAAGGCGGGCCTGTCAGTGTAACTTGTACGGTGACAGCTGGCGTGTCGTTGTTGTTTTCTTTTCTGATCGTCGGTCGCTCGTTAAGGCAAGGCTCGCCCCTCGAGTAGAGCTGATTAGATAACCAGTCACGTGTAATTTGATGACATAAACTGCATCACATGACTTAGAGACTTCCACAAAGCCTATTACTAAGAAATTGAACTTTGTGAGAGATGCCTGCAGACGAACTAAATCCGGCGGTTTTAGGTGCTGGAGTAGAACCGACCCCTAGACTGATACTTTGCACGACTTTTGTATATCTTTTTATTTCCCTTTTCTTTCTCTATTCAACATGTCTGACGATGAGGCAAGATAGATCCGCGGTCTCCAAGGCCCCCTAACCAGTGACTCTGAGCACTCCTTGACTAACCTCGTTTATAGGGAGCCTCACCCCGCGAATTGGTCGTGGAAGCCTGCCGCCGCGATCAGCCCTACCTCATCGAGGAGATACAGGAGAAGTCCTACAAGGATAAGCCAGATGAGTTTGCAGACTTCATTAACGGAGTAACAGACTCCATGGGGAACCATGCGCTTCACATATGCGCTGCTTACGGGAGCTGTAAGACGTTCCTTCCCCCGCCTTAGCGCCTGGCAGCCCTCTAAGCGGTTTGATGGTTAAATTTTTGGGATCCCCCCAGCTAATATGGAGATATACATATAGATGATACAATGGATTACCTACTAGACATATACCACTTTGAAGTCGACCCTACCAACCGCGTCGATGGCGACACACCGCTCCACCTGGCTGTTCAGTATGGAAACGAAAAGGACATTGAGTTGGCCATGTCAATGCTGGAGATGATGCTTGAAGCAGGCTGTGATCCGCGAGTACGGAACAAGAAGGGTCAAAAACCTGCAGATTGTGTGATGCCGCAGTATAACCAGATGAGAACTGCGCTGATGAAGGTGGAGTATATGATGCAAGAAGGACAAGGGGTGGAGGGTCAGGGCCGGGATGACGACGATGACGGGCCAAGTGACGGACCCAGTGACGACGAAGATAATGGCCAAGAGAAAAAACAATAACTTCTTCAAGGGACAGGAGTTATGGTGTTGCTCTTACCGTCCTTTGTTGTGCTGGCATGATCTACTGTGTTTCCGTCTTGTTGTTTAACATTTTTCTCCCTTTCCTTTCCTTTTCTTTCCTCATTTTGGCATGTCAGGCTGGGTGCGCTCTACAGTGTCTTGTTGGGAGGAACCGGCTTGTAGGGGAATGGATATACCTTAGACTATTCAAATGATCATCTTTTGAAGCGTGATATATATGTATATGGGTATTCAAATCATAATCTCTCCATCTAAGCTCCGGGTATACATGGGCGTTAAATCCAGTCCGATTCATACATGCGTGTCAATCAGAGTCATCATCATCCCTACGGCCTCTCCTTCGTGGTGCCTCGGGCTCTGCATTTTCTTCCTCTGGAGCATTATTCTCCCTAATGCCCAGGCTTCTTTTCAACCTCTTTTCGAACTGCTCGCTATCTTCATCGCCTTCGCCTCCTTGTACTATGCCAAATACTTCCTTTGCCATACCTGATACCCCAGCCACGCCAACCTCTATTTTACCTCTCGGGCCGACGAAATATTCAATCACCTCTTCACCCGTATCTGAATCACGTACCTTGAGCAGATATCCTTCCTTACATAGTCGAGCAAGTAGTTTGTCTGTCTTATCAAGCGGCGTATGATAGTCTGCATTGACACGGCGAAGGTGTCTGTTTAGCCTGTCTTCTGATATTGATCCACCTGATAGCATGATCAATGATATAATAAAGGTATATATTGCAATATATGAGCTTTCGGTGGAGGAATCAGGTGCTTTGGATGGGTGTAATATTTCCGGAGTTCTGTAAGCGGCTGGTAGAGTAGATATGACAGTCCATGATTTTGACGTGCTTGATTTTTCGGCGCGTTGGGCCGCTTTTAAGTTGTTAGCAAGCAGTTCCTTGCCGGAGACAGGGGTTATTAGACATATTCACTCACCCCTTCTCTGGCTAATTGTCACCTTTTCCTTGCCTGGTTGCTCAACCATCTGCATGCCAAATACCTCCTTCAAGGTCTTCTGTGCATCGAGAAAGACAAGTTTAAAGTGTCGCGATCCACCATCACCTAGAACTTTGGCGGATATATCTGCTCTGCGAATGGGTTGGCGTGAGTATTCGCTAGCTAAAGCCAGCCGAACCAGCTTCTTCACCATCACGTTTATCGACACAGAGGTCTGCAGGTGCCCGCCAGGTTGGTATTCATTTTCAGACTCGGGTGTGGCACTCCACCGGCGCTGGGTCTGCGTGCGTGCCGGAGTGTCCTCATACTCGTCTTGCTCGCCGTCATCATCGTCATCAGTAGCCTGGCGTCACACAGCATTAGTTATTCGCCTGTCATGGCCCGATAGTGGGATGTGAGTGGCCTCGGCCTACCCGTCGTTTTGGAGGCATTCTGCTAGAACTTGTCTTGTTTATCCGGATAGCCTGGAGTGTACGGGTACTCCAATAGTTATATTAAGCAGCAGCAGTTTGTCTTGTTGAACGGTATACTGTCTCCCAGTATCAGCAATTATCTTCCACCGTGAAAGCGAAAGCGCGCTTCAATTAAACGAAAAGCGGAAAAAAACGCGCGCTTCCCACCTGGGCAGACGCGGGATCACGTGCTCAGCCTCAAGGATCGCCGAACGTCAAACGTCAAAACGTCAAAACGTCAAAGAAAACAACCGACGGAAGCAACCAAACTAAAGACGGGAGCGCGAGAGAGAAAAGGAGTCCGGGGTAGTTTACTCCGTCATATCCACGCTCTATCGGCAACCGCCGCCTCTGATTTTGATACCGTGCTTAGACATGAGGAGGCTTTCCCTTATTGGGCCCGTGCGAATCTATACGATGTACAAACAAAATACATCCAGATGTCTGTGGAGTCGAGCCTCGGTAGGAGGGCGAGCCGACTAGTCTATCAGGTACTCTAGATGTTACCTCGCCTCCGCAAACAAGTAAGGATCAAGCTAACTAGCCGTGTGAACAGATAATTGATCGCTCTCTCCCGGCCATCTGCGATGCAACGGCTGGTCAGAGGGATGGCAGCCGGCTCGCTCCGATGCCCGGTCTGCAGCATAGAGGTGATAAGGGAACCTGCAATAGTAATGCAACCTTCACCATTATAGTCTACAATCCAAGGCGGTGCCTATAGTTGCCGAGTTTTTCGTTCCCAGGCGCTTACCAAGCTTCCGAGCTCAATGGGCCGTGTTTCCGTGGTACCCCTTAGCTCGGCCGCCCGCTATAGCGAGTTTTGATTTGATAACCATGGGCAAAAGGCCAAGGGGACAAAGTTTTTTTTCGTTGCCGGGTCTGATAAGCGGACTCCACAGAGCAAGCACACGACAAGTAGCTCGCGAGCATTCCCTTGATCGGGCGAACTTGACTACATATATGGGCCGCTCAAGTCCCTCAGCATGGGTCGTATCGCTGCAAATTTTCCCGGAGCCAACGGGAAGAATGCATATTTGCCCTTGCTGCACGATTTCTACTCCTTCGACCTGCTCCTTACGCTGTTATGAAGAACTGGAGTACTCGTGTCAACGATGCCGTGGCGAGGAGCATTGTCGGTCGCAGGTTCCGGCTTGAGGGCTCCGGACATGTACGTTTTTTTTTTTCCCCTGTTTGTCATGGAGAAGGGAAAAGAAGGTGTCCTTTTTGTTTGATCTGAGTGAGAAGTAATGACACTGACATGTTCTTTCATTTCTGCAGCGGCGTGAGCGGAAGGGTGCTCGGTTTCTTACTGAAGTTCGAGCTGGGCTTACCACTTTCTTTGCCATGGCGTATATCATATCGGTGCGTTATGGCAGGCTGCAGAAGGCTAGCTAGCTACCAAAGCGTGAGGAAGAGCTGTCAAGCTTACGTTCCCCAAGGTCAATGCGACCATCCTGACAGATTCTGGCGGGCCCTGTGTCTGTACCGATGCCAAAGACCCGACGTGCAAAACGGATATAGACTATAACCTATGTTTGAACGTTTTGAAGCGAGACCAGATCACAGCCACAGCAGCTATTTCCGCGCTGTCGTCGTTTTGCATGGGTCTGTTCTCGAACATGCCTATTGCCCTGGCCCCTGGAAGTACGTTGTTGTTCCTGGCAAACTATAACCATGCGAATGAGGCTGAAGTGGAAGGGATAGCTAATGATTGGTGTGACAGTGGGACTGAATGCATACTTCACGTATACGGTGGTTGGGTTCCATGGATCGGGACCAGTGAGCTACGGGCTGGCTTTGACGGCAGTGTTTGTCGAGGGATTTATCTTCTTCGCATTGTCACTGTTTGGCATGCGCCAGTGGCTAGCTCGAGCAATGCCGAAATGCATCAAACTTGCCTCTGGCGTGGGAATAGGACTGTATTTATGTTCGTGGCCGCCCCCTACCTCGATCCATAATTACATGATGCTAACGAGAACCAGCTCTCATCGGATTGACGTACAGTGCCGGCATTGGAGCCATAACAGGCGATCGAGACACCCCCGTTACGCTCGGCGGATGCGTTCCAAGCGAGATGGTAGACGGCGTGTGTCCCGGCGGAGCTAAGATGCGCAACCCCACGCTCTGGGTCGGGATATTCTGCGGCGGCATCCTAACCTGCGTGCTAATGATGTACCGCGTCAAGGGCGCCATCATCGCCGGCATCCTGCTGGTCTCGGTGATATCGTGGCCCCGTCCGACGAACGTAACATACTTCCCTCACAGCGCCCTAGGCAACGACTCATTCGACTTCTTCAAGAAAGTAGTCACCTTCCACAAGATCGAAAGCACGCTCGTCCAACAGGAGTGGGATCTGGGCCAGGCAGGCGGCCAGTTCGGGCTGGCGCTGATCACTTTCCTGTACGTCGACATCCTCGACGCCACGGGGACGATGTACTCGATGGCACGATTCTGCGGGGCCATCGACGAGCGCACGCAGGACTTCGAAGGGTCTGCAATGGCCTATACTGTCGACGCACTGAGAATATCGATTGGGTCGCTGTTCGGCTCGTCGCCCGTCACGGCCTTTGTGGAGTCAGGCGCGGGCATTTCCGAGGGCGGCAAGACGGGGCTAACGGCCATGACGACGGGGGTATGTTTCTTCGTGTCTATATTTTTCTCGCCGATTTTCGCTTCGATCCCGCCCTGGGCGACGGGGTGCACGCTCATCTTGGTCGGCAGCATGATGGTGCGAGTGGCTGCGGACATCAACTGGCGGTACATGGGTGACGCAATACCGGCGTTTGTGTGCCTTGCTGTGATGCCGTTTACGTATTCGATTGCGTATGGTCTGATAGCGGGCATCCTGACTTACGCGTTGCTGAATACGCTTGTGAAGGTTGTCGAGGTACTGTCGTGTGGCAAGATTGTGCCTGAGAACAAGGAGTTTCAGGACCCCTGGACGTATAAGGTTCCCGGGGGCGTGTTGCCTGGCTGGATGCGGCGGCTGGCCAGGGGTAAGAGGGACTTTTGGCGGGAGGATGACGAGGGTGAGCTTGGGGGAGCCGGAGCTGGGGCCAAAGCTGGGACCAAAGCTGGAGCCGGAGCCGAAAGCGAGAGCCAGGTTGAGCTTGACGGGGTGGTCAAGGGTGGGTTGAGGGTGAAACCGCTATCGGCCTCGGAGGAGTTTGATAAACTGTCATGACAATGATATATTTTATTTTTTAGGTAGTTAATCTGTCTTTATTGTTGGATCTACTCTTTTTCAGCGTGCTTGTACGGAGGTGCTGTCGGTGATTAAGTCTACAGTTGGGAATACATTTTTGGACAAGACAGGACAGATTGATAAAAAGAAGAAAAAGGCGACAAGAAGGTATCAATGGCACTGAAGATGGCGAACAAAGCTGTCTCGGCTGTGTTACGTGTCAAGACGGGAGCCGGGAGGTGGTAGAGGAAAGTAGAGAATGTGTGATATGCGAGGTAAGATACATGGTCGTCAATTGCGAGTAACAGTGTAAAAGGAGTGGTATGGAAAAGCAAAGATGGATTTAGACACAGGTAGAGAGAGTGAGAGAGAGAGAGTACTACCTGGCTCTGGGCTTCCTCAAGCTCTTGACGCGACTGATGAAGCCCGAGGCAGGCTTGGGGTCCTCTGCAGTCGGGCTGGTCATGCCGTCGCTGCTCTCTTTGCGTTCTGGCCGGCCACGGGGGCTGCTCATGGCCCTGGGCCGTCCTCCATATCCATCATCACTGTCGACGAGCCTGTGGTTCTGGATCCTGGCCGACTTCATGTCGTATGCATCATCGTAGTCTTGGCTAGAGCTTCCAAAGCCATTATTATTGGAGGTACTGTTGGTGTTGTTGGAGAAGAATGGGTTCTTGTCGTTTGTGTTTGCTCGGCGGGAGCTTGTAGCACGGGGTGGCGGCGGAGGGGGCGCATGGCGAGGCGGGTTGTCAGCGGCCTCTGAGGGGCGACGGTGGAGGAGTGGCTCGGGAGACATGACTCTGCCGCTGCTGATGCTGCGGTTGTTGATGCCACGGATCTTCTGGGCGAGAGATTTCTTGCGCTGGAGGCCGGCCTGCATGGTGTCTGACTCTGACTCCTTGCGCTGGATGGCGGCACGGCTGGCCGGAGTGCCCTCGAGGAAGGTGGAAGTTCCCAGGCCCATGCTGATGTCGCTGTGGACCTGTTCGATCTGGCTGGTTGGGTTGAAGGCGACGGCTGCGTCGGCCTTCATGGCGGAGGAAGAGATGGCAGATCCGCTGGAGATGCCGGTCGAGAAGTCAGAGTACCCTTCCTGGCCGCGGCCGTGGATCTGGTTAAGGTCTAGCTTGTTGTTGTTTGGCCCGGCGCCGCCGATGGCCATGTTGCGGGAGTCCTTGGGGAAGGCCTGCATGGGAGCAGCCCGAGAGCCCTTGCGGTTGCGGTGAGGGTTGCACGCATCAAACGGGCCATCATGATGGAATGCTAGACAGGTCAGTTAACTGGAAAACAGACAAATAAATAGAACTAAAGGAAGACGTACAGCCAGGGCCGTAGATGCCGGTGACGTCGAGCTTGTCGATGATGTCTAGTTTGTAGTTGTTTCCACGCCTGGAGCGAGAGGACTTGCCGTCTCTATGCCTGGCCTCACGCTCTCTGTGACGACGCTCGCGACGCCTGCGGTCCTCTTCCGGGTCGAGCAGCTTTGGGCGTTCCATGAGGGAGGAGTCTGAGTTGCGACGGGGCCGTCTCTCGGGCCTGGCAGCAGCGGCAGAGTGGGAGGCGGCGGACGAGCCAACGAGGGTGGACTCTGAGGGATCTGCAAAGACGTCGATGAGCTGGCCGGTCTTTGTCGAGCGCGAACGCGAGGCCTCGTGGTTGGAGGGCCGGCGGTGCTGCGGAAGGGGCCTGCCGGCGTTGAGGGAGGAGGAAGATAGAGGTGGAATGTTCTCAGGCCGGGGGGGCGGGCGTCTCTTCCTGTCCTCCAGCGAGAGGTTTTCCTGTAGAAGTTAGAACAATGAGTAAAAAGAATAACAATGAGTAAAAGAGTAGAAGAGTAAGAGACGTACGAAGAGGTCAGAGGCGTCGGCCATGCCAGGCGAAGGGAGGGACGAGGGCGAGAAGGACTCGGTCTCGTCGAGGAAAGGGTTGGTAGAGAGCGGTCTCTGCGGCCGCAAGCCGGGACTGAGCAGCGAGTTGGGCGTGGAGGGAGAGGCGGCCCTGTTGCGGAAGGGATTGTTGGAGCCCAGCGTGATGCTCGGAGAGGCCTGCCTGTCTGTTCCTAGTCAGTATTATTCCAGTGAAGTCGAAGCTGAAGTCGAAGCTGAAGTCGTGAGGTGAAGTCGAAGTGAAGGTGTTGTGAGTGTGGATGCCCACCAGGCCTTAATAGAGGTGAAACAGCAGGCCGGGCGCCCAAGGGGGGCAGAGATCACTTATCACTTTATCGTACCTGGCACTGGGATGGGAGCAAGCGACATGGCAGCCAGAGAGGAGCAGAGGAGAGGGAGAGAGAGAGTATAAAAAGCAGGAAAAGCAGGCAAGGCAGGATAAGGGTCGAAGGGGGGAAGAGACGCAGGCGAAGGGGAGGCGGGAAGGGGAGGCGGGAAGAGGGCCTGGCGGTCGCACGAGGGCCCGTCGACGGCGACAGGGAGCTTCTTCTGGAGCTGATAAAGGTTCTGATGATGATGATGATGATGATGATGATGGTCGTCAGGTCTGCTGCGATTTGCCTGGCTGCCCGAGTCCGAGGGGGATATCCTTTGTGTCTATCCGGGCTGTCTGGCGGTGCTGGCTGCTGGTTCGTCTGGACGGGCTGGCGAAGGCGAAAGAAGGGGCAAGGATGCCGGCGAGGAGACGCAGGCCGGTGGAGCGATCGACGATGGGCAGTCGAATAGTTAGAGTCGACGAAGAGAATAAGAGAGTGAAGAGAATAAGAGAAGGTGATGAAGAAGAGAAGAAGAAGAAGAGAAGTGGTGAAGAAGTTGAAGTCGAGAAGTCGCTAACTTTGCCCTGAAAAGCTTTTGGCTCAGGAGTTACTCTTTTGGCTCTTTTGGCTCTTTGGCTCTTTGGAGCTACCACTCTCTCTATTACTCTATTACTCTCAGGCACTCTCTCTCTCTACTCTCTTACTCTACTGTCTTCTCTACCACTACTACTCTACCACTGTCTACCACTACTCTTCCACTACAGTCTACTCTACAGTCATGATGAACCCGCCGGCGCCGTCAAGTCCTCGCTTCACGCTCGAGCTCGAGTTCGTCCTCTCGCTGGCCAACCCGCACTATCTCTCGCACCTCGCCGTCGCCCACCCGCAGCTGCTCGGCATCACCAGCTCCAGGGACAACGACTCTAAAAACGACTCTAAAAACAGAGACTCTACAAACAGAGACAGAGACAGCAAGGAAAAAGACGACAGCGAGGCCTTTGCCGCCTACCTGGCCTACCTCTACGACTACTGGCGGCGCCCCGAGTACGTCCAGTTCCTCTCGCATCCGGGGGCGACGCTGCGGGCGCTGCGGCTGCTGCAGGAGGAGGCCTTCAGGGTCGCCGTCATCCGGCCGCAGGTGATAGACATGCTCAGTAGTCACTAGTAGTAGTAATAATAAAGACATAGGCAATAAGAAGAAGAAGATATTAATAAAAAGAAGAGAGAAGATAATAAGATAATAAAAGAGAGAAGAGTAGTTAGTTGGCTTGTCCGGCGGTTTTCCTTTTAGTCGTTTCTGCAGGCGAGAAAAAGAACAACATCACAACTCGCAAGACGGACGGCGGACGACGGACCACAGGGCTGGACAGAGGACAGAAGAGACAGAGAGACAGACAGAAGGATACTCAGAGGATACTCAGAGGATACACAGAAGAGAAAAGAGAAGAGAAGAGAAGAGAAGAGAAGACAGAGAGATCCATGGGTCGTCCCTAGCAGCGTCGTCCAGGCGGCCAGGCAGCATCACCACCACGACTACGACTACGACTACGACTACACTACGACCACCATCACTACGACCACTACGACCACTACAGAGAGAAGATAGAAGAGAAGAAGAGAGAGAGAGATGCACTCCGTCCGCCAGGCATGCCGGCCGAAACACCAGGTGCTCGTCCTCAAGTGCTATCCGCGCTTCCAAAAGGGCGTCCAGGTCGTCCGCCCAAACTCCTCTGAGCTCAGCTACCTGCTGCACTACGCCAGCACCCGCCGCAGCAAGCTGCTCAAGGTCGGCGCCTTTCTCGAGAAGCGCGCCGCCAGAGACGTCTGGAGGCAGAAGCTGGGGTGAGTCTCTCGTCTTTTATCTATGTTCTATATGCTAATGGTGTCCATTGGTAGAAATGTCCAGGTGACGATGCAGCTGCTGGCGGCGCTGATAGAGAAGCTGCCGCGAGACCTGCCTCTCTACGCCAGCTCCGTCCTCGCCATCCTCGACACCGTCCTGCAGCACTCCAACGACATCGCCATGGTCGAGGAGACCATCCCGACCTTCCAGGTCTTCTGCTCGCACCAGGACGCCACCGCCCTCTCCGCTGACATCGACTACATCAACCAGTACCGCGACGTCGTGCGCAAGTACGCCAGCTTCACCTCCAGGAATACTACCACCACAAATACTACTACTACCAGTACTTCTACAGCAACTGACCTGCGATGGCGCAATGTTGGACTGCAAGCTATCAGGGCCGTCGTCGGCTCAGAGGCCCTCGGCGCAGACTGGTCAAGGCAGCTCAACATCGTCCTGCCCGTCATCCTGCACACCCTCTACCATTCCGGTGACCCGGGCCTGCTCCGGCTCCAGCAGCGAGCCGTCTGCTCTGAGAACTTGGAAAAAGAACACGCCCGGCGCCGGCGGATGAGCATTGCGACTGTCCAGACCGTCGACACCGTCGAGGCCGGCGATCCGGAGTCTGCGTCGGGAACGGCCGCAGACGCTGACAAGGCCGCCGAAGTAGAGGCCCAGGTCCTCGCCTTCCGCTGTCTCGAAAAGGTCTTTACTCCCGGAAGCAATAGGCTGCAGATACGCCTGGCCACCGCCCTCGTCCTCGAGTTTATCGTCTCTCGCAACCCGCCCAGGCCCAAGAACGATACCAGCTGGGCCACAGACTTGCTCGAAGTAATCGTCAATTGGGCCCCCGTCCAGGACCGCTTCGTCGTGCTCGTCACCTTGGTCGAGGCCCTCGCAGAACGGCCCCTGGTCGACGGCCAGCTCGAACCACAGCTTGGCCTCGTCTACATGATCGAATGGCTGCTCAGCTCCTCCATAAACCTCATCGGGCTCAGCGTCATGGACGTCCTCATTGCCCTGCTGCGCTTCATCGTCCTGCTCCTCCATCTCGGCGAGGGCAGGGTCAAGGTCGTCCCCCCGCCCAGCAAGACCGCCTTTGCTCACCCCCTTGCCCTCGCTCATACGGATGATACCGCTCTCCCTACTACTGCTACTGCTGCTACTTCCAACGCTGAAGAAGGAGAAACAGCTACAAACTCCCGGCCTTCCTCGGGGTCAATGCGCCAGGAACTGCTCGTGCTGCTGCAGTCGTCCGTAGCAAACCTCGCTAACCATGTCTACTACACCGATCAGGTGTCAGACATGGTCAAGACGATCGTCTCTCGCATCAGACCTGCCTCGGCACCGGCATCCTCAACCAACAACTCAGACCACGACGAGTCTGAAAGGGCCGCTGCAGACGAGTCGTCGTCCGTCGTATCAGATACCTACTTCTCCACTCCCAACGCTCGCATCATCGCCCTCAAGGCTGTCAAGGACACACTTGACGTGGCCAACCGTGCAAGGGCTGGAAGCTCCTCCTCACGAGCTGGAGGAGGAGGAACACATGCCAGGCATCCTGTTCCCGTCCACGCCTGGGAGGGCACTCAATGGCTCCTCCGCGATGCCGACAGAGACGTCAAATATGCCTACGTCGACGCTCTGCTCTGCTGGTTGAAGCTGGAGACCAACGACTCCGACCTCCGTGCCCCCGCCGAGCCACTCAAGGTTGGCAAGCGGAAAGACAGAGGAGCAGACCTGTCTGACGGCGCAGAGAAGCTGGTCAGAAAGGCCCTGCCCGCTTCAGGGCCCGACGACAATAATAAAGTTGCTGCAGCCGAAGTCTCACGGTTCCTGCAGCATCTGCACTTCAACATCTACGAGATTGCTACCGATCCCGCCGTGTCAGAGGCTGATATCCTACTCTCCCACCTCCTCTTGGTCAGCCTGGTAGACCGTCTGGGCGTCAATGCAATCAGGTACGGACTGCCAGTCATCATGAAGCTCCAGTCTTACTGTCTCGACCCGTCTACCCCTGCCTCCCCGCTGAAGGCTGGAAGTCTTGTCCACGGCTACCTCTCAGCCATCGTCGAACGTTTCACCCTCGAAGGCACAAAGCTAGGCAGAGACATCCTCAACGAGGTCGTCAGGCGCAAGAAAAACGGCCTCTGGCTCACCAAGGTCCAGCTGCCTCCTCTCCCTGCAGCCCGCATCCTGGCCGAGCAGCCGCTCAACCCAAGTGATACCAACACAGGTCCCGTCGTGCAGTCAAACAAATCCGCTTATACCCCTTTTACCTCCATCGTCGAACTGGTCTCCCAGATTGAAACCGCTTACAACCAGTCCTGTCTCTCCCCGGCTTCCAGCCCAGCAAGTTCTCCCGGTGCAGCCGTTCAGGGGCTCGCAGCCACTCTATCCTTCCAGCCGCCAGCTCGTCACCTAGCCGCTACAACCTTGCTACCGTCGTATATCAAGGAGCAAATGCTCTCTTCCTGGTCAAGAGAAGCTTGTCTAGCCTCCATTGAACAGGAACGCACCCGATCATCTTCCATTACTGGTTCAAAGAGCGGCTCCGTGCCCGCCCGCAACCATCTAAACGTCACCGCAACCGCCGGCAAGAACGGAACCGCCAGCTCCCCCACAGGCACAGACTCGTCTCATGGTCATGGACAGAAATGGCACCGTCCCGTCTCTGCTTCCGCTGCTGCTGCTGGTACCACAGCCACCGCCCCTGGCACCCGCGCCGAAAGCCGCAAGGACCGCCGCCAGAGTCTCACTGAGATACCTCACCCTCGGTCCTCTACAACAGCCTCATCGAGCAAGGACTCTACAGTCCGCGTCAACGAGCTCCGCCGTGTTCTCTCGGTCATGAACACTTCCAACGTCCGCCATCCAAGCCCCCTACGCGGCCACCCACGTCTATGCAGCGACGACGCCTCTAGTGCCGAGAGCATGGTCACAGATACCTTCTCCACCTCCGACGCAGGCTTCAGCAGCACCGGTCCAACCGGCAACGCAGACGCAGTCCTCGAAAAAGTCCAACAAACCCACGCTCCCCAACTCGACAAAGACAAAGACAACAAATCCACACCCCCCGTCCCACCACTGCCTCAGCACCGTCAATCCCGAAAACAGCCCTCAAGATCCTCTTCAGCATGCCAATCCCGCTCCAACTCTCGTTCCCGCCCTCGCTCCAAAACCAGAACACCATCTACTTCTCGCCGCGCCGCTTCACCACAGACATCTACTACCCGCTCTCGCAAACATAGTCGGAGCGCTGCAGAAAACCCCGTCGACGCATGGGATCCAAGTCTAACCCAAAACCCCATCCTGCTTCGATCCGTTAGCCAGAGCCGAAGAGCGGAAGTCGACAAGTTACTCGGTGGCATAGCCACTCCCACTCCTACCACCCCGGACGCAGACACTGTTGTCCCCATGCCCCCGCATGACGGAGTAAAAGGTCTGCTTGCCCCCAGCAGATCGATTTCAGGCAGAAGGGGGATCGGTCCGCCTCCTTACTAGTCTACCGTACTATCTATCTATCCTACCTACTCCCTTTCAAGCTATATTCTTCCATATCGCTATCTTCGGCACTATTTATCGTTGATGTTCATCCATCCAATCCATCCATCCCTGTGTCTGTCTAGCTGTATGCAATATTCTAGATTCTTTTTTTAATCGCATTCTGTTTCAAAAGTGTCTCGGTGGGAGGAAATGGGCAAGAAGAAAAAAAATACTATTCTTATTGACAGGTTATATTATTAAGAGATTCAGGTCTTTTATTCACTCTTCCATTTCATTTTCTATCTTGTCGAAAAAGTTCTGCATGGTCTGTTGTTAGTTGTTTGAGCATGGTGGTTATATGTTTTTCTGCTAGTGAGCTCCCTTTCCCCCCTTTTTTTACTTACCTACCTACCCCTTTTTACCCCTTTTGCGTTTTATCGACTTTGTTACTAACAACCGCATAGGGAGTAGACATGGGATAGATTTATTGATACTAGCATCTCAATAACATACTGCATTATGCATTGGCCTCGACTTCAACATCCCAATGAACTATTTGCAACCTAACTACCAAAACTAATAATACCCGAAATACAACCTGATGTGATATCAAGCTCACTTCTTAAAAGCCCCTGCACACATGGCATCCTCATACTCATAATCAGGCTGGAACTCACAATAAAGCACTTCCGGATCACTCTCCACCGCAAAATTATACGCCGCCTGCTCCTCAGAAATATACACCTTCTCAACCCCATTAGCCGCAGCAGCCTCAGCAAGCAACTGCGCCTGACAACACCGCTCCAAACACCCAAACAAATACGCCGCCTCATCCACCGTTCCCCCCACACTCAAAAGGCCATGATTCATCAATATCGCAGCCTTCCCCTCCCCCAGCGCCGTCGTAATCAATTCCCCTTCTTCCTCCGCTAGCACCACCCCGCCATACGACGAGTACACGCCATGCGCCTTGTAGAACTTACACACGTCCTGGTTCAGCATTTCCAGCGGCCGCGCAAACGACGACCATGTCTTGCCGTAGATCGTGTGCGCATGGCAGATGGCGTGCACGTCTGGCCGGCGCTTGTGCACTGCTGCATGGATCAGGAAGCCTGCTGCGTTGGCGGGCCGCGAGCGGTTGCCGCCTATCACACTGCCGTCGAGACGCAGGAGTATCATGTCGCTGGCTTTCAGCAGGCCGAAGTGCACGGCTAAGGGGTTTGTCCAGAAGGCGTCGGTGAATTCGGGGTCGCGGACGCTGATGTGGCCTGATAGTCCCTCGGTGTAGCCTTGTCGGGCCCAGATGCGGAATGCCCCCGCCATATGCTCTAGTTGCCATTGGCGTTTGAGCTCGTGGGATGTGAAGCTGGGTATTCCTGGGGAAAGGAACTTAGTGTTGTAGATGTAGATGTTTAGGCTGCGGAGAGCTAGGTGGAAAGGGATAAGGGGAGGGATGGAGTGGGTGGGAGAGTACCGGGGATAGGAATGCCTCCATGAGAAAGAGCCTTGAGGCCTCGTTCGTCACTGTGGATATGCTGCTTTTCATGTTCTTGTTTGGTCTTGACATCCTCGCTGGCTGCGGCTGGGGCGGGTTGAGCAACGGCGCCGGGACTCATTGTTTGGGGTGTTCTAAGCGGTGGTTAACCGGTGTATATAGATGTATGAAGTCCGGAGATTATAGCTAGGGAATGAGAATATCTAGATGGCTTTCTTAGATAGAATGGTTGATAAGGAGAACTAGATGCCCTGAGGGGGGGCTCGTATCTGTCGGCTGCCTTTTTATATGCTTAACCGGCCACTGTGGGGTAGGAGAAGCTGCATAGACTTGGAGGCAGAGCAGTTGGTTGACTTTGATATTCGCCTGGTTCAAGTTTTTTGCTGGGTTACGTGTCTGAATCCTTCATTCAAGGGTTAGCAGTCTCATCCATGGACGTACAGGTTGTGTTGATGTTGAGGATGGGTTGGCTTGCAGTTAGTTTTAAGTTGTTGCGGATAGTTTCATCAAGCGGAATCCACCACAACGCACTGAACGTCAACAATCAAGACATCGACTTGGCTGGAGATCAGACAAAACATCCATACTTCAGGAACATACCCTGACTATACCCTGTATATCTCGATTGCCGTCCCTAGAAGATATCTTTGAGAAATACGAAATTATGATAATGATAGCCAAAAAGACAGCAAAGCCCTGAACGACAACTGGATTCTCATCAGACAAATGAATACCCCTTCTGCGGTGGCTGCAAAGCCGATCCTGGCATCTTCACTTCTTCCTCCAGAGTCCGAAGACGAAGACAGAAGTACGTCTAGTTCTGAAGATGAGGATGGATGGCGGCTGGCATCTGAGATTTACGGTGACGAAGGATCAAAGAAACCCGCAGCAGCCATCGTGTCAGCAGGCCGGGTACTGGGGATATCTTCTCTGATACTCAGTATAGACCCAGGGGAAAAGGCACCAAATGGCAGAGAATATGTTCAGGAATGGGTTGATGAAGTGCGTATATATCTATCAGCGAAGATGCAGTCCACATTGCTAACACCGTCAATAGCTATCTCTACACCTACTAATTTCCACAATCACACGAAACGCAACTGCAAGCCGGCCAAGGGCTTTCATTATCCAATTTAAAGGCTGCCGTCCGCTATCATCAAGTGTTCTTCAAGGGTTTATACGAGAAAAGATGCCCGACCTCTCCCCCAAGGAGATAGAGAATATCCTGCGAAATGTCAACATATTTCAAGCGTTCGAATTCGGCCAGATACAAAGTGCCGTCGACCAAGTATCTGATCTCCTCTTCAAAATTGAACAGGGACAACAGAAAGCAAATAAGGGCTCTGGAGCCTCTACCTCTGCGCAACCCGAAGATCAAGACGATACTACGCAGTCGGAAAACAGACCTGGAAAAAGAGACCCCTTCGAACCGCCCATCTTGCTTCTCATCGAAGGAATAGATGTAGCCATACAGGAAACTATCCGCTCTTCTGATATGGACACTGCTGGAGATCGTTTATGCTCGTTTCTCCGCACTCTCACTCTCCTTTGCAGGACATACAACTCCATGCTTGCGGTTATCATTGCCAATTCTATAACGCTACGACCCGAGATACCAAAGGCAATACAGATGGCTCCAGATGAACTCCGGACCCAAGTGCGCAATGGCCTAACACCGGCTGAAACAGCTTTAACCATCCCATATAGGCTTGAGGATATGAATTTCCCTGTAGAGTCCGTTTTTGAGCCACCTGAAGACCGCCGGTTGATTACCGGTTCTCCATACCCATATGGCCTGCAGCTGTTCTCTTTTGCCGACGAGCTTGACGAGGGTATTGACGTTCATTTGGTGGTCTCTAGTGTAGATAACGAGCGAGTGGTTGAGGTAGTCAAAGACAGGGAGGGAAATAATCTAGGGCGTTGGGATATCTTCTAAACGGGGTAGAGGATATCTTGTATCCATACAGGTCGATGATACGAAATAAAAGACTGACACATTTCCTTTTTCATTCGAATTACTCCGGTATTTACTGACTCGCTAACCATGCGCTGTGGAGTATCTCACTTAAAAGCAACTATTTAACCATACAGAAAGATGCAGGATGGTATAAAATACATGGCTGGTTTGAATATCGAACAGCCCCTGCAAAGTACAAACGCCATGCCACTGGATGTCCGGAAACAATGGGGCAGGAAAAAAGAAATAAAGGTAACAGGCTGGAGGGTCGCTGGTATGATTTTTTTTTTGTCAGTCCATTAAAACCGTCAACAGGCGCCGATGCAAATTAAAATGGAGAACAGAGCCGAAAGCACCATGATAGGAATAATAGTAATACAGGTCAAATGGGGTATTCTGTTCCGGCTCAAAAAATTAAAAAAAAAAAAAAAAA